AAACTATATCAAAACTTAGTAATTGTATGGAATTGGTGAACTAATTTGCATATCTGCCAATAGTACATTTAAGGCACATTAAAGCACCAATACCAATACTGGGAACAGAATCTATAGTGGTATTTTTATTGGAATATCTTGAAGGATTAGCAAAAGATTTAACTTAAGTTAATTCATGTGATTTCCCTGCTTGTGATTATCAATAGTGTACCCATGCATCATAAAACTGTAGACATACAACCGTATGTGTTGCAGCAACGTTGCCAAAGTTGACAGTGAGACATCTAAAGTGTGGAACCAGAAAACAAAGATCAAAGTGGAATGCAGCCCTACAGCAACAATGATGAAGCGCTGTACCAGGGTTGGAATGATTTGACTTTATCACAATTCTTGAGTGCAGATTTGATTTATATTCTGCAATTCTGCAGTATTGCAAGTATTGCTATTTCAATAGTATCGATTATTTTGATTTTTTTTTAAGGGGGAGAGTTGAATATTAGGAGTAATATTTCCAACAAAAAAAAACGCTGCACATCACAGGTCAGTCAGTCTGTCTTTGCTTTTTTATCATTTTTTTATTTTCTTACCATCTATCAAACACTCTGCTTCAACATCCAGGCAATCTGCTCCCCCGAAATCTACCTTCTCTGTGGTGATGTTAGCGTAGTGCCTCGAGCGGCTGAAAAAACACCCGGCAAACAACTCTGACAAAGACGCTGGGTGCAGCAGTTGCCTTCTAAAGTACCTCCACTCTGATTTCCACTTCTCTTCATTTGGTACAGCTTTGCAAAAAAGATCAACAGACTTGAGTAGTGGGCAAGCTTACCCATGCTTACGCTAGCAGGCTAACATGACTCCAGGATCACCTCACCGACTTTCTGCTACAAGCATATTCACCGACCTGAAACAAAATACCCACAGTTTACTGGAGCCCAATACCAGGACCGGCTTTTTGTGGATGGCGGTTGAAGTTTTGAAGTCTTCCCTTAAAAAACAGAATATCCTTTATGGAAGTTCATAAGCTAAGTAGCTAGCTAGCCTTCTTGCTCACAGAGGTGAGACAGTTGAATGAAACTGAACACAACAACAACTTTCTACTGGTTATATTCTTTCTTTCAGTTAGAATGGACAACAGATAATTTCTTCCTTGATAAATCTACCGGTATGTTGAGTTATGAGTCGGTGGGGGATGACACAGAGTCATAGCTTTGTTGATAACCTAAAACCTCTGGGATTTTCAGAAAACAGGGAATACACTGTCTGCTATTTTTCTCATTTGGCTGCTGTCAGCTAACGTCGGCTGTTTTACTGTAATCAAATAAGACGTCACAATAATCAATACCAATAACTAATTTGTTTTAAATCGTCTAATAAAGAATCCTGATACTTCAGTGAATCAATGTTTTCCCCGTTTTCTCATTCAGCAGGCAAAATACGGGGATAGACGACACGACGGCCGTTGCTGCCATGTAACTGCGAGGACTTGTGCAGTTTGTGTGTCTCAAATCGCTGTGGATTCCCAGCACCTGACTGAGAAAATAAGATAAGTGAGGAAGAAGAGATGTGACAGTGCTGGTTCTCAGGCTCTTATCATGTTGGTACAGTTGGACAGCAGGGGGAGGGAAGGGGGAGGTGGGGTGATGGAGGGAAGGGGTGAGTAAACACGGACAGTGAGGCTGATAGCAGCGGCTCCCTCCACATCAACTAACACAAAATGTGGGACCATCAGTCGTCGGCCACCAGCACGTCTTTTCCAGCCAAGCCACAGTTCTGTTCACATTTTCCATGAACCCCACCCCCACCCTCGTCCTGGGAACCACATCACACACACATAAACGCACACAAATACAACTCGTCGCACACACACACACACACATTCTCAATTACCAAAAAGCCACTGAGTGTTTTCTCACAGCTGAACCCTGAGGCACAGTGAGCTCAATAGAGTTTACAGGCCCATGAAAAGCAGCAACACTTTGAGTTTGCTACTGCTTACATCCGTCTGTACCTAACAAACATAATGACTGCAGAGGAAGGGAAACTTCACACAAACTTTAAAACTTGAGATCAAATGGAAAATTGTTCTGCTTGAAGCTCTACAAGGAGAAAAAGTGACACTCACTCCCGCACGCAATTTCGTGAAAAAAAGTCACATGTTTCTGAATGTTTGGGCTGAGGGGTCTGAACTGTAATGGGGGCGGGCCAAGCTGTGATTGACAACTCACCCTTCACACCTGGAAGGAGCTTTAGGTGGAGTGTGGGAGAGTTGGGCAGGTTGCAGCCTGTTTCTCTCCACTCTGTTGTTTTCTGACGGCTGCCAGAGAGCACAACACTTACACAACTCCCAATCGTCTGACTAAAGCATCTCTACAACACACTTAAACACACACACACACACACACACACACAAGTTACTCCTCACAAGCAGATACACCAAGTGTACGTGTGTGAAATATCATATTATTACATTTTGATTTTAATAATTATACTTGCTGTTTCACTGATGGTCAGATTTTATTTCACTATGTAACAGCTTACATTCATTAATTAAAATGTAAGGCACAAATAAAACTAACATGATAATTCAAACTAATCATTTTATTTAGGGCAGAAATAAACAGCTTTTTTTTAAATATCAGTTAATCTGTTGTTAATCTTTTTTAATTATTCCATTAACCATTGCCAAATTATCCTCTCTTTAAAAAGTTCCTGAGTTGTCTGAAAAACATATTATTAAATCAATTAACTTCACAATGTTTTAAGAGAGAGTGTTACTAAAGAGCCCGTCTGATCTTAGATTGTTGTAACCAATACCTATACACCTCTTTTATATGGTAAAATGTACACATTACCAATATGGTGGTCAAAAGCCTAATTTTTAAGGAATATTTTCTTTATCGGTCTTGCATCACTTAAGGTCCTCAGAAGGCCCTTTCCTTGGAAAAATAGTTGAATTGTATATTATTTACAAAACTATTAGCACTGTCTGCAACATGTGTAGCAGAGCATCACAACTTAGCAGACGTTGGTCCATGCTGGTATTAGTTGATAATAGACAATAATGTAAATCAATAGGGGTGGGAATTTTTTACAGTATGTAAAAATCGAGATTCTTATCTTCTGAGGTTTTAAACAGATTCATAACTCAGTAGAAAGCCAAAAGGAGCAACAAGAAATTCAGCCAGCCCCACAAATGACTGGAGTAGATCCTGAAGTATGTTCTAATTCAAAAATAGACTTTGAATCCATGAATCCAGAATCATTTTTTATCTAAAATAGATTCTGAATCGAATCGTGAGACACCTGAAGATTCCCACTCCTATAAACTATGGATTTGTAGTGCATCCCTTTCAGACAAACTACAAAGGGGGCGGCAGTAGCTCAGTCTGTAGGAACTTGGGTTGGGAATCGGAGGGTAGTCGGCTCAAGTCCCGGTGCGGACCATGTCCAGAAATTGGCCTGGTAGCTGGAGAGGTGTCAGTGTTGTTTTGAGCATGTGTTCTGTAAAAGGAGTTCTATAGGCAAATATCTGAAACACATAAGATTAGAAACACTGACATATCCTCTCTGCCCACAATTTAAACTGCTACAACAACAACAACTTCTCTTTCCTCCCTCTCTCCCTGCATTACGCAGCGTGAGCACTCAACCACAATTACAGGTGTGTTGGCCCGCGTGTCAGTTTGAATTGCCTTCAGACTCAACTGACTGCTGGCTACACAGACAATAGCTACTTTCCCTTTTACATGCAGGCTTGCATTATGCAGTAAATACCTATTATACATTGCTGACATTACTCCAAACATGCCTTTGGTTCACAACACTTGTGGAGCACAAGATGCTTTTATTTTGAAATATTTTGGAACAAATACAATGTGATCTATAATTGGCACTACCTTTGATGGCCAGTACTCAGAAACATTTAAATGATGTGTTATTTCTCTGATTACGAGTAAATGAAGGATGAAGGGGGGAACCTACTACTCCGACCTTTAGTCCTTTAAATCTTCTACCAGTGTTTGAAAAAGTGCTGTGTACTCCCAGGCCACTTGCTATGGCACCATATAATTTACACAGCATGCCTTTGGGCTTATAAAGACAGCCAGATGTGTGTGTATATGTGTGTGTATGGCCTACGCCTCCTGATGCTATGCTATATTTGCCTTTACAAAACTCTCCCCCCCCCCTTTTTTTTTTTTTACAGTGATGCTTGCAGTCCAAAGGTGCGAGTCCAGACACATCTTTTTTTACATACTCTGACACAAACATGTATGTACAGAGTAGGAGACGCAGGATAAGTGTGAGAAAAAAAAAACAGCTCAACAACAAAGTAATAATGTCATCATGGCCAGGTTGAAGAGAGGGGACGTGCACACACATGAAACACACACCTTGTTATCAACTGCATGGCCACAAAGAGCCCAGTCACCAAGCTTCTGGTAGTTGCAGTGCAAACATGTCATCTTTCTGTGCAATATGAGAGCAGGATCTAGATCATTCAGGGTCCATTTGCATCCCGCGAAAGATGTCCAACCTGGATCCTTAAGGGTGTCCTGCAGGGACCTCCATAAAATCTCTTCAGCCAAGAGTAGAAATTACATTACCTCATTGACTGGTTGATGTTGTAAGCTGATTTCATTAGGTTTTCTTGACAGGCAACCTTCAACTATTTACCTCTATACGAAATCGCACCCAACGGATATTAGGCTACATGAAATGTAAATGAGGATTTGGGGATCTGTATTTTTAATACATGTTTATCTTGTGGAGGAGGAGGGAGGGGGGGGGTTACCATGATTTTCTTTTTTTTTTTTTTTTTTGGGATCCCCTGTCTGCCCTACGTGGCCAAGCCATTTGGCCTACATTTTAACCCTGCTGTCTGACACTTTTTGACAGTCTTCTCCCAATTCAGTGATGTCTAGACGGTTTGAAACAATAAGAAAGCACACAATAGGGCCCTATTGAGAATATATTTTATTTTCTTCTGCAAGAGAACTCACCGTCGATCCTGCGCTACATGCCTTTCTGCTCCCCGCTGGAGAAACTCCTCTGTACTCGACGGCGTTAAATCTCAAAGCAAAATGGTAATCCTCGTATAGTTTTTCTTCACTTTACCCTTTTAATGTTCCCTTTGTAAAAAAAAATTTAAAAAAAATTTAAAAAAATCTGAGCCTCTGGACTCATATGAGCGTAACTTTCAGAAGTCGTGAGCTCAGTCGTGCCTGTTGCTTCTTCAGCTTCAGCCGAGTTTTTTTTTTTTTGTCAATTTACGGAGTTTTTCCACTCGGCAGGAAAAGCATGAAAAATATCACATAGGTCCCCAAACTTGGCCGTAAAAAAAAAAAACTACGACGTGGTCTTCTTCTCTAGCTGGGACTCTGGGTATGTTTATAGAAGTGGTCCCTCTGGTCCAATGGAGGCGTTCAGGACAGGGGAGAGAGGAGCAAAATGCTGCATTCACATACTGCATAAAATATTGGAATCACGAGAGTTGAGTTTGGACGTCCTATGAGGAGGTATAAAGCCTTGGTTCGAGACCCTCGCAAAGGGTCGCGAGATCACTACAACAGGTCATGATAGGATTGAAAAGATAAAAAGCTATGTTATTAAGCTTATTTTCACTTTTCTAAAAAAACTATATTTTGTGAATGACTGGATGACATTTTCCCTCCATTAATTAATGATATATGCCTATAGGCTATATCAGGGCAAGGGGTTTGTAGGTACAGCAAGAATAAACAGCAATTGTTAGCAATAGGTCCCAATCTGGAAAGGTTGGAACTATTGTTGCAAAGAAAACAAATGCTGATTGTAAAAGTAACAAATCAACTACACTGCAACTTCTTTAAAGTAGCCTAGGCTAGTTCAACATTAGGATAGGATAGTACTTTATTGATCCCCAGAGGGGAAATCTGTGCAGCAGCACAGACAAGAAAGCTCAAAAATACACATTAAACAGAATAGATAAGATAAATAAAAATAAAAACAGGGGGTATATATAAGTACAAAATGAATGATGAAGTTAACTATGCAGGGAATTGAGACAGTATTTGCAGAGAATGACAAGATAAAGTGACAAGTGATGATTAAAGTGACTTGGTATGATGAATAGCAGCAAGTAATGTTATGGGATTTATCCTATCGGCTACTTTGTTGGCAAGGCCTAAACGAGAAGAGTGACTTGAAGTGATTAGGAATGAATCCACAACTTGCAGCTAATAGCTTACCTTAGCAATACATCTTTACTCCTTAGTTTCTCAAAATATAGCCAAAAGATGTAACTTGTTGATTAAATGAACTTGACATGCGCTGAAGAGTGGATTTGTCATAACTATGCTAGTTGTTCCGAGTCTTTCTGTAAGTTAAGCTAACCAGCTGGAGGCTGTCATTTGGTATTTTGCAGACAGACATCAGAGTCAAAAGCATTGGTCAACAAAAACCGAGTCAAATGAAATACAAATAAAGATCTCTTCCTGATTACCAGTCCTGCACACGGTGAAGCTCAGATCTCGCAGCCTTGCCGGGGGCCTTGAAGGCATCACTTGGTCCAGATGCCGTCCCCTCTGCTCTGACATCAGACCGGAGGAATCTAAGGAATTCCGGGCTCCTGGGAGAAGTCCTGCTCGTTTAATGGTTTTCCAGGGGCCACAGAGGTGACTAAACGACGAACAAAGGAGGTCCCCTCACATATTTATGTCCCCCCCCCCCTTTTTTTGCCTTTTAGCCCGGGATGAGTTACAGCCTCAGTGGGGCAATTTATTTGCATAACCTACATCTTTACAACATGTAGCCTAGGATTTAGGCAAATTCAGACATTATTTTAAAAATATAAGGAAGACATTTATAGTGCTTAGCCCATGCTAGACATTTCACTAATTAATGAATACATTGTTTTTTAAAGTACTTTATTTAAAAAAAAAAAAAAGTGTCCAAAAGTCTGTTTTAGGCCTAACTAAAGTTACATCTCTCTAGTCATTCGTTTAAAGCCTTCTAATAATTATTGCAAAGAAAACCCATTTGGTCAGAGTAGTTTAAATTTATTTGTTGTTTTTTTGTTTTTTTAAGTATTTGTAGCCTCAGACAGTTAGCCTATTGATATGGTGTATGTATGCAATAAAACATATTAACTAGTCTTTTTTTTTAACTGTCTTTCTGCTTCTTCTTCTGCTGCTGCTGCTCCAGTATCCCTTCAACTCCCCGCTGTTCTGCTGCTATGAGCTCGGGTGATTAAGGTCCATAGGGATCTCATAACATCCAGCAGACTTAAGACATTCCACAAAAAAAATCTTATATCTCAAGAACAACAAAGGAACATTTCATTGCATCAGAGGGTAAAATGTAGTTACCATCAAGGATCCTTGAAATTTCTCAACAGATATTCAATTTTCCCCTTTAGAAGTGTTCCATAAGAGAAAATGAAAATGTTGTGTATTACTGTTCTTGATTATTCCTGTGAAAATCACTAATGGAACACCTTGATTTAACTTGTAAATGTTATTCTATTCATTTTTTCCATGCACTATAATACACAAGGATTGAGCACTATGTAAAAAACATGGGTAAAAAAAATAAGCTCTCAGCAGATATAGGCTAAGACAACCCTCCTTATTTGTAACTAAATTGCAGCCTCTTGTGGTGGACATGACAGTCACAGCTGCAGCAAAACAGCACAAAATGATTATAATTGGCATTATTTAAGTATATTCTTACTAGCATTTAATGGGAATAATAATTAAAGCTCTTCTGTATTATCCTGCATTTTGCTGAGAAGCTGAAAGAAACATTATTTGATAATGTAACTTGTAGACTGAGTATAACATTTTGGGCCTTTCTCTTGGCATGTTTGTAGGTTTTTCTTTACAAATGATTTAACTTTTACACTATTAGACGCACAAATTGACATCACAAAAAGGTCAAAGGGCGGAGGGACATTGGAGTGAAGATTAACTTGTGGATTTCATCATGGCATGCATGAAGAAAATAACAAATTAGGAGGCAAAGATGGAAGTGTGTTCTAATTATGTTTCCTAAAAAACATTTTGTTTTTATAGAGAAAAATATACATGCCTTTGCAGCTGCTGAGCTTCTGTCCAAATCTGAAACCTAAAACATTTGGTAGTGGTTTATCTATTGACTCGTACTGGTGGTTGTGCCCAAGATCCAAGAGAAACAATATGTTTCTTATATTCTACTTGAGGTATTCTGAAAAAGGCTTGGGGACTTGGGGCATTTTTTAAGAAATCCCATGGGAGTTTGAAACACAGGCATTGCTGTTACAAGACTTGAACCCCTTCAGTGTTACTTGTTTACTGATATCAAGGGTGGATTCAGAGGCTCTCCCATGTGTCTAAATTTCTAGGGGCATGTAAGGACACTGTGAAAAATAGTTAAAAAGCAAAATTGTGTCCTTAAAGCTAAAAAGTGTAATTGAAATGGACGATTAGATGATTGGGTCCTAAAGCAGCTGCAAGAAGAGCATGAAAGGCAAATAGTTGACTGTTAAACGAGCAGTGCTTCCCAGAGTTAGGATGCGAGCCACCAAGAGGGGGGTCATGTTCCTTCATGTTTCTAGAGTTGCCTTCCAGGGCTGTGGCCCCATCATTGGGCTTAGCCGTGGCATTGGAGAGATCACTGTGGTTAAATCTCTCCAGCCTGCTAGACCAGGAAAAACAAGTTATCATGGATTTCCCCTTCCAGCCTTCATACCTACAGTTTTGGAGGCATTCACTCTAAGGGTTGCCTTTGAAGCCACTTGAGTCTGTTTACTTGAATTTAAACAGACTCTAACTATCCTGGTTACTGGCTCTGACCTCAGCCAAACAAAACGGATAAGTGAGTTATAACCCTTGTCTGTGTATTCATCCTGCTTGCAATTTTTCTCCTGGCTATGAAAAAGTGATATTGCACTCTAACCCTCGCTTTTGTGCCCATGGTTAGTGAATGGTCTGATAGCTGCCCCATATTGGAGCTGCTTGCTTTTAAAGGGCGGGGAGTTAAAAGAGCGAGAGGCGACTTGATATATTTTGTCCTGTTTGAGCATTATGCATCTATTTGGACGGAACTAGATTTGTCGAGATGTTTTGTCTAGAGGGGGCAGTCAGCTTTTTGTGTTTTTGTGTTTTTCGGTTTTACCATTTAGATGTGGCAGAGCTTTCTGCTGTGCACTCTGTCCATAGAGTTGCATAGAACTGCGGACTAGCCCTATGTTTATCAATCAATCCATCAATCAATCAATCACGTTTTCTTTATTTGTATAGTGTTATGGGCAGTTAAAAAAGGGGGATAGGCAACAAAGATTTCCCCTGACCGACGTAGTGGTCGAGTAGATTCCATTATTGGTCGCACCAGATGGCACTTCCCATAGTGAGATATCTTACTCAGTTTTCAGAGAACCGGGATTACCCTTGTAACTTTTCCTTGTATTCTGTGTCAACATGACAAGTTCATAAAATGTGATAAAGAGTTGTTCCTTCCATCACTAAGATAAAGAGTACGAACTGAACACAATGTTTACAGCTACCATGACTTAAATTATTAGTACACTCTTAAAAACAGCACCAAAAGCCTTAGGTATAAATGAAGGAGTAATAAAGATAACGCTTCACTTTTGGAGAAAAAAACGCAAATACCTGGTTTAAAGATAAGAAATGATTTGTAATCATGTTCCCATGCAGATAAAGATCAACACAGCCAGTGCATTTCTCTTTTCTCTTTTCTGTTTATCCAAGCCTGACATGGGAACATTGTTTGATCAAACTCTGTTTTATCAGGACAACATTTATGAAAGCCAATGTTCTCTTTGGCCCCAGAGTTCACCCAAAAACCTTCGATTCACTGTGTGTCCACTGTGATCTCATCACTCGATCAACATTGAATAAAAAGGACTTCGTCTTAGCTGTGTCTCACATTATTGACATTTGTCAGCTTGTCATCCTTTGCTGTCCCATGTCAAATCTAGCTTCAAACTTAATTCATCATTTATCATTTGGTTTTCAATTATGTTTTTCAATTGGTGGAAGGAAGACTTGTGCCATAAAGGAAATCTTTAAATTGTTTTATTAGGAGTTGAAATTTAACCCACATTGTTTTTTGGTTAATGTTGTCATGAATAAAACACAAAAAATCTTAATGAATGACCTAAATGCATCTTTAAAACTGGAAATAATAACTGAACAACCTGCTGTGCACGTTTGTGTATTCTTGAACTGTGTGTGTAGCATGTTCATTAATCCCCTTTGGAATTAATAAAGTATGTCTTCTTGTAAATGGCGGAGTTTCTTAAAATTCGAAAAAATACATATTGGGACACAAAACGGACAAGTTCTGTCTGCTAGCTGAGAAACTTCATTAACAATATAACTTCACCTTTTGTGGTTATTGCAACCACATTAAGCCTTTTC